CTTGATTGTTTGAGCGTTTGTATAATGGTTGACCTAAAATCTCTGTGGGATAATTCTGTCATGTGTGTTCTCTCTATTTTGGCATCTATTGATCATCCTTTCCTGTGCAAGCTGAAATATTTGTGGTCCTTCATGTGCTGAATAATTTTGGTTGTATCATGACATTTTAAGAATTATGCTGCAAGATTCTGGATCTTGTTTAAATCCACAGAGAATGTCAATATCTTTGTTTTAGCAGGCAATGCACCTGGTGGGGTTCAGAGTGAAAAAGCTTCAACCTGGAGGCATGTTTCCAATGTCAGATCGAGGCAGTAGGTAGATATGCCCATCCCAACTGGGTGAGCAACTGGAGTTCATTCCCTATAGAAATTACAAAATATCAATAGAAAGACAATCGAGAGAGAGGTGAGACCCTGACCAGATAAGAGACCACATATTCCTCATTCTCTAAGTCAGGGAGACCTTCCTGACTAGAAAGCTCCTTGGAGATCAAAAAAGCGTACCCACAGGCCTTTGCACTGGAATTCTTCTTGGTTTAGAGCTGCGCGAGAACACGTGGGAAGATCCCCATGATATACCAAATACGGACTAAGAATCGGGCAATTCAAAATGACTGGCTAGAGAAAACCCAGAAGAAATGCCCACAGAAGTGATTTAGACTACCATGAGGTGAACTCTCTGAGTCTGCCCAGGTGGCCATCCACATGTACTGTACTCTTTCTTCCCTTCTGATAAACACTTTACTTGTTTCACTAATTTTTATCTTTGTGGGAATTCTCTTCTGCAAAGCCAAAGGGCCAGGGCCTTGTCATCGGCCAGTGGTCAAGTGGCGGGATTCAGCACTCTCACCACTGTAACCCAACTTCAGTCTCTGGCCAGGAACTGAAACCCTGCTTCAAGCTGCTGCAGTTTGAGGCTACCTGAGATCACCTTTGGTGCTGAAACCTGGGAAGTCAAGGAGAACCATGGACTTTGCCCAGCTGCAGCTTGAGGCCTCTGACTTTCACTTTTGTTTTCTTTCTCTTGCTTTCTGCTTTGCTTTCTTTCCAGGACCCACAGGGCATAACCTCTGTCTGTCTACAACCTTATGGCTCCCCCTAATATTGGGGGTGCCAGGGCATTCCCCTAGGTTGTGCAGATTCAAATAAGGCTTGAGTGACAACTGACGTGGTCCTTTGGGAGATGGTGGAAACATGATTTCCAACTGCAAAGGAGCCCAAAGGGTCTCTCTCACTGTCCCATTCAGAACCCTCCACTACGCTTTTCTTTCTCACCTTACTTGCACAACAAGGTCTCTTTCTCACTTCCTATCTCTGCTCCCTTTTAGGGAAAGATTTCCTGGACATCTTTCTCAAACCGTGTCCCTACCACTGTCAAACTCTGTTGCCTGTGTCAGACAAAATCATCAGACGATTCCCAACTCTATCTTAGTTGCCAGACAGACAGTGCAAAGGCTTTAGTGTTCTGCTCTCTAGTCTCTCACCTCCCACAATGCCTAGAAAACTGTCATGAGGATTTCTCTGCCTCCTGGCCCTCAAGCCTTGAACCCCTTGCTGTCTTTCATAGCGCCCAACACCAATTTGGGCTCCAAGCGTTCCTCTTTGCATCTATTGAACCCCCTCCATTCCAGGCCTCGGTAGCCTACACACTGCTACAACCTTTCAAGCTAGCTGCTACCCAGAAACTCAAATTATAAACTTTGTAGATGCTCAATCATGATAAATATATCCAAGAGAGTAGTAATTAAAAGACACTTCCTCCTTGGAAGAAAAGCTGTGACCAACCTAGACAGCATATTAAAAAGCAGAGACATTACTTTGCCAATAAAGGTCCATCTAGTCAAAGCTATGGTTTTTCCAGTAGGTATGTATGGATATGAGAGTTGGACTATAAGGAAAGCTAAGTGCCAAAAAATTGATGCTTTTGAACTGTGGTGTTGGAAAAGACTCTTAAGAGTCCCTTGGACAGCAAGGAGATCCAACTAGTCAATCCTAAGGGAAATCAGTCCTTAATATTCATGGGAAGGACTGATGCTGAAACTCCAATACTTGGCTACCTGATGCAAAGAACTGACTCATTGGAAAAGACCCTGATGCTGGGAAAGATTGAAGGCAGGAAGAGAAGGGGACAACAGAGAATGAGATGGTTGGATGGCATCACCAACTCAATGGACATGAGTTTGAGCAAGCTCCGGGAGTTGATGAAGGACAGGGAAGCCTGGCGTGCTGCAGTCCATGGGGTCGCAAAGAGTTGGGCACGACTGAGTGACTGAACTGAGGAAGACTTATCATAGTACATAAGCCCTATACACAAGGAATCCCTCCTAAGGAAAGTCCTGGCAACCAACTGGTCTGCCACTGGTTTAAATATCCTCTCTCGGGCACATGGGGAGACATCTTGCACAAGCTACCAAGAAAGACCAGAGACACCTGGTCAGGAATCAATGGAAAGTAGAGGACGCTTGAAACCCTATCAGGTTCAAAGGAAAACTGGGGAATGCCCTGAACCCCTTCAGGTTAAAGCCTCCTGGTAAAAGTTTCTGGGATGCCAAATTCCATTTCTAATAGAACTGTCTTATTCTTGGTTGCAGGTTACTCAACTTGGGAGGGTACCCCTCCAAGCCAGAAGAAACACCTCTGGAGTGTATCCTTAAGAACTGGAAATATTTTAAATAGAAGTGCTAAGAAAGGAAAAACTTGAGTGCTATTGTAGCAGTGCCTGGCCTTTGGTTAGGGAATGGAGAAAAATGGCCTGAAAATGGTCTTTAAATTACAATACCATTCTGCAATTGGATCATCATTGCTGTGGGATGAGAAAGTGGACTGAGGTCCCCTTTATTCAGGTTTTCATGATCATTTACCGAAATCTTGCCCTATATGGCTCTTGTCATTCAAAACCTAGGGAACCAGAAAACTCTCCCAACATTATAGATGATCCCCTTCTAAGCTTTCCCATCTCTCAGGGGGAAAACCTAGCACTGCCTACTCCTGACAGTATCCCTACTTCTTCTGGTCCCACTGATCTATCCCAAACTCCAGCTCCCTATGTCCTTCCATATCCTCCATTATATGAAGAGAGACTAGTCCCTCTAGGGTAGCTCACAGTGGAGCTTCCTATAACCCAGGATCAGCAAAATTAGGCCTTCTCAGGGAAGTGGCAAAGGTGAAGGGAACAATCGGAGTACACAATGTCCTTCTCTTTAACTGACTTAGTGCAATGTAAACAGAAACTGGGCCAATTTTCCAAAAACCCTAGTAAGTTTGTTGAAGAGTTTCATGCTCTCATTCTGGCCTATGATTTAACTGGAAGGATGTCCAAGTAGGGCTATCTACTTATTGTACTCTCGAGAAAAACAGAATTTGACAGCAGCCCAGGGGCATGCTGACCAGCTTGCTAGAGACAAGTCCGAACATTATGCTACAAGTGGAGACGCAGTCCCAAATCAGGAACCCTCTTAGCATATTAATTTCTGGGTGGAGACAGAAGTCAGGAAACCCATGATCCAATATGTATTAGAAGGGATGAGAAAGTGTATCAAAAAGTCAGTTAACTATGAAAGGTTAAAGGAGTGACCCAAGAAGAAAAGGAAAATCCAGCCTTCTTCCACAGGCGACATGTAGAGGCTTTTAGGATATATACCAAAATAGATCACTCCACTTGTGAAGGTCAGTCACTGTCAGGACAGCACTTTATTAGCCTGTCTACCCCTGATATTAGGCAGAAACTTCAAGTTACAATTAGGCCCACAAACCCCCATGCCTCAACTCCCCTGAGCTGGACGTGGCCTTTGGGGTATTTGGGCTTCTCAGGTGACACAGTGGTAAAGAATTCACCTGCCAATGCAGGAGACATAAGAGGTGTGGGTTTGATCCCTGTGTTGGGAAGATCCCCTGGAGGAGGAAATGGCAACTCACTCCACTCCAGAATTCTAGCTTGGAAAATTCCATGGACAGAAGAGCCTCGTGGGCTATAGTCATGAGGTCACAAAGAGTCAGACACAACTGAATGAAATGAAATAGAATACACTTTGGGCTATTGAACAATGGAGATCAAGCTGAGGAGGAAGAAAGAGACCAACCTGAGAAAACACAGGCCAGGGCTCATACAAAACTGATAACCATTGCTGTCAGCCTTGCTTTTCGACCTCAAGACAACCCAAGAAGGCCAAGAAAGTCCAACTTTCTTTCTGTCTAGAGGTAAGGCCAACAAGGAAGAATGCTACAAATGCAAGTCAACTGGCCACTGGGCCCAAGATTGCCAGAAAGAGCTCCCAGGGACATGACCAGCCTGCAAACAAACAGGTCATTAGAAAAGGGACTGTCCCAAAGGGAAAGGGGGACTCCCATCCCCAAGATGCCATGATGGACGACAGAGGCAGTGGGGGGACACTGGCAGTTCCCTCCAACGAGAAGTCTATTTCTATCTGGGTGCTCTTTGACATGACAAGTAAGAAAATAAATTTTTTAACTGATGGGGGAACCACTTACCCTGTCCTGATTTCTCCTGCTGGGCCTCTCTCCTCCAAAAGCTGTCCTGTGACTACTGTTGATGGAAAGCCTCGCACCCATTTCTTCATTGGGGCTCTCACTTGCCAATTTGACCTGTGGTTGACTTCACATGCCTTTTTAGTTGTACCTGAGTGTCCCACCCCACCACCTTCTGAGATGTGAAGGTCAGTCACTGTCAGGACAGCACTTTATTAGCCTGTCTACCCCTGATATTAGGCAGAAACTTCAAGTTACAATTAGGCCCACAAACCCCCATGCCTCAACTCCCCTGAGCTGGACGTGGCCTTTGGGGTATTTGGGCTTCTCAGGTGACACAGTGGTAAAGAATTCACCTGCCAATGCAGGAGACATAAGAGGTGTGGGTTTGATCCCTGTGTTGGGAAGATCCCCTGGAGGAGGAAATGGCAACTCACTCCACTCCAGAATTCTAGCTTGGAAAATTCCATGGACAGAAGAGCCTCGTGGGCTATAGTCATGAGGTCACAAAGAGTCAGACACAACTGAATGAAATGAAATAGAATACACTTTGGGCTATTGAACAATGGAGATCAAGCTGAGGAGGAAGAAAGAGACCAACCTGAGAAAACACAGGCCAGGGCTCATACAAAACTGATAACCATTGCTGTCAGCCTTGCTTTTCGACCTCAAGACAACCCAAGAAGGCCAAGAAAGTCCAACTTTCTTTCTGTCTAGAGGTAAGGCCAACAAGGAAGAATGCTACAAATGCAAGTCAACTGGCCACTGGGCCCAAGATTGCCAGAAAGAGCTCCCAGGGACATGACCAGCCTGCAAACAAACAGGTCATTAGAAAAGGGACTGTCCCAAAGGGAAAGGGGGACTCCCATCCCCAAGATGCCATGATGGACGACAGAGGCAGTGGGGGGACACTGGCAGTTCCCTCCAACGAGAAGTCTATTTCTATCTGGGTGCTCTTTGACATGACAAGTAAGAAAATAAATTTTTTAACTGATGGGGGAACCACTTACCCTGTCCTGATTTCTCATGCTGGGCCTCTCTCCTCCAAAAGCTGTCCTGTGACTACTGTTGATGGAAAGCCTCGCACCCATTTCTTCATTGGGGCTCTCACTTGCCAATTTGACCTGTGGTTGACTTCACATGCCTTTTTAGTTGTACCTGAGTGTCCCACCCCACCACCTTCTGAGCTCCCTCGGGGCCATACTCCAGTTAGGAGGCCCCGAGTAGCTCTTTATCTTGACACTAAGACCAGCTGGCATACTAAGGTCCTGTTCCCAGCCAAATTCTCTATAAGAATTAGCCTTAGACCAGAAGCTGCTTACCCTAACAAGAGATAATACCCCATAAAGTCAAGAAGCAAAGAAGGGTTTATGACCCCTCATAGATAAATTCTTAATCTTGGTACCCTACCAATCTCCATGCAACACTCCTATTTTTCCAATTATTAAGCCAAACGGGGGACATAGTATGGTACAAGGCCTTAGAGCTATAAACACAGTGGTCCCTATACGTCCCCTCGTGGCCAATCCTTGTAACAATATTAATCAAAATTTCTGAGAACACTAAAGGTTTACTGTGCTCAACCTTAAGGATGCTTTCTTTTGCATCCAGTTCATCCCTCAACACAGTATCTGTTTGCCTTTGAGTGGACTAACCCCTGACTCAAGCCAAAAGCAGTAATACCCCTGGACTGTATTGCCTCAGGGGTTTTAGGTCAGCCCACAGTTGTTCACCCAGGCCCTAGGAAAGGAACTAAAGAAAATACATCTAAAAGAAGGTGCCATTCTACTGTATGTAGACAATATATTAATATGCAGTCCCTCTATGGAGGCCACAGATCAAAATACCACTCAAGTCCTTATTTCCTTGAGGCCCACGGTTAGCATCTCAGTCTCTAAGACAAAGGCACAAATCTCAAAGCAACAAGTTAAATATCTGGGATATATTATAAACCTCTGAAGTAGACAGTTAAGATAGAAAAACAAGCTGTATTAGGCCTAAGCATTCCAAATACAAAGAAACATAACCATATCTTCTGGAGCATGGCAGGATTTTGTAGAATTTGGATTCCAGGATTTGAGATAACGGCTAAGCCCCTATATGAAACCACTAAAGCTTCAGATATAGAACCATTACTTTGGAACAGGTAATAGGAAACAGCAAAAACCATTCATCTTGTCTGTGGCTGAAATACAGAAGACAGATCTTGGGGGTCCTTAAACAGAAGCTCAGGGAAGTTCCTCAGCCTATAGGCTACTTTCCCAAGCAACTAGACTCTGTGGCCCTAGGTTGACTTGGCCACCTCCATGCCAGAGCTGTCACCACTTTATTAGTGGAAGAAGCTAACAAGCTTACCTTTGGACAGCCACAGGAAGTGCAGACCTCTCATTGAGTACAAGGGATTCTAGAGATAAAAGCCCATCATTAAACTTCCCTGGTAGTCCAGTGGTTAAGAATCTGCCTGCCAAAGCAGGGGACACAGATTTGAACCCTAGTCCAGGAGGATCCTACATGCCTCGGAGCAACTCAGCCCATGCACTGCAGCAAGAGAGCCACTGCAAAGAGAAGCCGGCATGCTGCAACTAGAGAGCAGCCACCCCATGCTGTCTGCAACTAGAGAAAGCCCATGCACAGCAACGAAGACCCAGTGCAGCCAAAAATAAAACAGCCCATGCACTGCAAGAAGAGAGCCACTGCAAAGAGAAGCCGGCATGCTGCAACTAGAGAGCAGCCACCCCATGCTGTCTGCAACTAGAGAAAGCCCATGCACAGCAACGAAGACCCAGTGCAGCCAAAAATAAATACCTTTCTAAAATGTTGCCATTAAATTTACAAAGAAAAACAAAAGGTGATCACCACTAGCTAACTGGAGGCTGCCTTATTAAGTACCAGGCTCTGCTCAACTCCCCAGAGCTAACCCTCAAAACTTGCCACACTCTTGACCCTACTACATTAATGCCCACCGAAAGCCCATTGCTAACACCTTCTTGCCTTGAAACCCTTGACCAGATCTATGCCTGTAGGTCTGACCTAACAGACTTGTTGTTTAGTTGCTAAGTCATGTCTGACTCTTTGTGACCCCATGGACTGTAGCCCACCAGGCTCCTCTGTCTGTGGCTTTCTCCAGGCAAGAATACTGGAGTGGGTAGCCATTTCCTTTGCCAGGGGATCTTCCTGACCCAGGGATTGAACCCATATCTCCTGCATTGGCAGGCAAATTCTACACAACTGAGTCACCAGAGAAGACTTGACTTAACAGACTAGGGCATAGAAAACCCTGAGGAAGAATTATTTACTGATGGCAGTAGTTTCACTAAAGATGGAGTCAGGAGGGCAGGGTATGCTACTGTGATCACTCACAGCATCACAGAAGAAAAACCTTATCACCTAACACTTCAGTCCAAAAGGCTGAATCGATAACTCCAACCCAAGCCTCAACCCCAGGGGAAGGAAAGATTGTAAATATGTACACAGACTCAAAATATGCCTTGTCTTACATGCCCACGCATCTGTCTGGAGAAAGAGAGGATTTCTAAATGCAAGAAATTTCCTTTTAAAATATGCGGCTAACAATTTATATCTCATAGAAGTGGTTCAAAACCCAAAACAGATAGCAGTCATCCACTGCCATGGGCACCAAAAGGGAACTTCTCTAATGTCCAAAAGAAAAAACAACAGGATGGATCAGGAAACAAAGAAAGCAGCCCTGGTGACCCTAACTGTAATGGCTTTAATCCCATCCCTTATCACTTCTAACATTATACCCAGGTACTCGACTTCCGAAGACACCTGGGCATGTGACAGAGGGGGGAACTAAGGGGACAGACAGATGGCTGGGCCCTATAGATCAGAAAATGCTCATACCTCCCTCTGACCAATGAGAAATTACTAAAGGGCTACATGATTCTCTCCACCTGGGGAGAGAAGCAACGTCTACAATTGTTTTCTTACTTTTTACAGGGAAAGGGCTCTCAGAGACAATTAAGAGAGTTACTCAAGCATATGGCTTTGCACCACCTATAACCCAGGAGGCAACCCCAAGACTCCCCTTGTTAGCCCAGTACAGTGACATGGGAGACCTATCCCATGAGGATAAAGAAGATGACTGGCAAATAGATTTCACTCAGATGCCCTTCTTCCATGGCTTCAAATATTCAATTGGCAAAAAAATTTGTTCAGATTTTTTCCTAAGTTGTTATAGAAAAACCTAAATGAACTTTTTGGCCGGCTCAATACTTACTAGGCTTTAAGTACTTTTATTGGACAGACAGAAGCCTTCCTCACTAGAACTGAGAAGCCAACTGAAATGGCTAAGGTGCTTCTAAAGGAAATTATTCCTTGATTCGGATTGCCTCATCCCCTTCAGAATGATAATGGACCTTCATTTGTAGCAGATGACCCAGTTTTCTCAGGCTTTAGGAACTAAAAACCAACTCCAATGGGAGGGAGGTTAAAGAGGGCGGGGACACATGTATACCTATGGCTGATTCATGTTGTTTGACAGCAAAACAACCAAATTCTATAAGGCAATTATCCTTCAATCTCCATTCATTCTGAAGACCTCAGGAAAAGTGAATGGACTAATGATACTCTAAAGAAAACCTTGGGCGAACTCTGTCAGGAAACATCAGAGTCATGGTCATTACCTGCTGCCAACTGTCCTTTCAAGGGTCAGGGCAGCCTGTAAAACAACCACTAAGTTAAGCCCTTTCGAAACGACATATAGAAGAACATTCCCTACTCTGGACGTGCTAACTGACCCAGAAACCCAGGCTCATCTTCAACACATTATAAACCTAGGCCAGGTCCAGGGGGCTACATAAGAATACGGCAACAGAGTACAGCCCTCTCCAGATGACAGTCCCGGTCACTCTGGTGTAAAGTGAGTGACTCACTCACTTTTAAAGACCTGGAAAAATGAGCCACCTGGCGACCAGCTACTCCCAAAATGGAAGAGTCCTCACCAAGTTTTGCTGAGCACCCTTATAGCAGTTGAGCTCCAGGGAATCACCAGCTGGGTTCATCTGTCCAGGATTAAACCTGTCTCCACTGATATGTTACAGGAACCTGAAGACCCACTTTCTAGCCATCTCTGTGAGTTTGCCCTCCCTTTGAGTCTGCCTGCGATCTGGAGGACACAGGACAGCCTGAAAATTCCAGGTGGGATGAGTGAACCTCGCCAAGAACTGAAGCTCTTCTTCAGAAAGAACAAAAAGACTTCTTAGACCCTAGGCTAAGTACCCATAGCCACTTGTCTTCCTTTCTGCCTCCCAGTACTTCAATCCACTTACAGAATAACTGATATGCTCTGGTAAATTTAGATAACTATTGTCTTCTTTGCTCTCACCTTTGCTCTCAGAATTTACTAAACTTCTCTGCCCATGCTGAGTGATTCAAATATGACCCTATTGTGAAGTTACTAATTGCCTTAGCTTTTCTACACTTCTTTCCCTTATCCACAGGCTGGATAGATAACTCCCTGGTTCACATTGCCCGAACTCCTGTGTCCTCCACTCAGAATGCTGAATCCATCATAGACCATAGTGACCCACTTGTCCATTCTGTAAGGAATTTTAGCCAAGTTCCTGAGGGAAAATGGTCTTCTACCAGAGACTCAAGGTTCAGAATGGTATTGTACAGAGTCAGAATTTTTTATTTTCCTGTTGAAGAAAATTCTAATGTCTCTTGCCTAACCCTCCCCTTAGCAACAGAAGAATATTAAGTCAAACTGGGAGGATGAAGAACTGGCATTAACATACCCCAGCACTTTATAATGGCACCTCCCCTCTCCTGCAAACCAGAACTTCAGTTACCTATTTGTGCTCAAACTCAAGCTCACTACCTGATGGAAGAAGGATCCACATAGGAGAAGCAGATACCGAGACGGAAGCGAATGGAAGGACTTGAGCTTGTAGCTGGAGAATATTTCCATAACAACAGAATTGGTTGGCTAGGCTTTAAGCCAACAAGTTAGTCAACTGTGTCAAGTCAACTGGGCAAGTTAGTCAATTGTGCCCCATCAGGTTATATTGGTGTGTGTCAGGTAGATAAAAAACCATGAGCCACTAATTGCCTACCCAAAAACTCCACGCCCACACAGTGCATGCTGGGAACCCTGATTTCTCCTTTCTCAATCCACTCCTTAAATGAATCTAAGCACTGAGCAAGTTCATTAAAACTGTCCACTCAATTAACTCAAGATTTACCTGGTGGCATCCCAGACAGAGATTTCTTTGGGTACTCCTTGTTACCATGGTGGGGAGTAGCTACCCACCAACATGTCTATGAAACTTGTCTGGGATGCCACCAGTACTGCTAACTCTCTTACTAATTTACCGAAGTCTCTAGATTCACTGGCCAAGTTGGGTATGTGACAACCAACTGGCCCTGGATTATCTGTTGGTAAAACAAAGAGGGGTATGTGCAGTTACCAATACTTTTTTTTATTTGGCTGCACTGGGTCTTAGTTGCAGCATTAAAGATCTTTGTTGACTGCTCTGGGTCTTAGTTGTGGCACATGGTATCCTTAGTTGCAACATGTGGGGTCTAGTTCCCTGACCAGGGATCAAGCCCAGGCCCCATGCATTGGGAGCACAGAGTCTTAACCACCGGACCACCAGGGAAGTCCCACCTTGTTGCATGTACATTACCACCTCTTGCCAGGTAGACAGTGAGAAAACTTGACAACAAGCCACCTTGCATTCAGACAATTAACCACCAATCCTTGATATTCAGTATGGGCAGGGAAATTGAAAACAGGTTCTCTAACTTGTTCTCCTGGATCCCACAAGGTATTAAAAACTTTCTGACAGGAGGTTTCCATTTTCTTACAACCATCTTCATTTCAGCCATACTGATTTATGTTATATTTCACCTAATGCTTTGTTGTCTTCCATATTGTTGCAAATCTAAGACCTTTCAGTCCAAGGAGGAGGCCTGGGACCAACAGATTCAAACTCCATTTTAGGAAAAGAGAAATATACTAAATTTTAAGCCTGAGATTAACAAAAATGTACTGACCTTGTATAACCAGATTTCCACCCTTGTTTAAGTCTCTGATTATAATCGTCTTTTACTAGTCTCTAGTCCCCACTTCTCTAATCTAATTATTTAGTTTGTTTTCTCCAGGGCAATGGTGACACAGGAACTCCTGCCACTCTCCACAGCAGATCCTGCAGAATAACGAGAGAAGTTACCCAGGGGCCCCTTAATGAGACAGGACAAGAGCTCTGTGACCCCAACAAGACAGAATCTACGAGCCCCTTGCTAACCTGGAGAAGCTGCCAAAGACATACCATCGCACTTCATCTTCCCAATAAAGATTTCTAGGGTCTACATGTCTCAGAAGGAATTTGAGGCAGGAGATAGATGGGCACCCCCTCCCCTCCCCAGGGTAAGCAATTTGAGCTCGTTACCTGCACACAGAAATTCCAAAATATCAACATCAGGACAATTGACAGAGGAGACTGGGCTCTGCCCAGATAAAAGACCATATTTTCCTCATTTATTGATATCAAAGAGACCTTCCAGACTAGAAAGCTCCTCAGAGGTCAAAAGGGGAGTGATGCTAAGCCACCCATAGTTCTCTTTGGTGAAATGCATCTTGGCTAAGAGGGTGTGTACACACTTTGGAGGATCTTGAGATATATTAAATACAGACTCAGAATGAGGCAAATCAAAATGAAAACCCAGAAGAAATGCATCATATAAGTGATTTAAACTATCACCAGGGCATAAGTCTCACTGAGTCTGCCCATGTGTCTGTACACACGTACTACACACTTCCCCCTAATAAACACTTCATTTGTATCACTACTTTTATCTTTGTGAGAATTTTTTCTCTGCAAAGTCAAAGGGCCAGGGCCTTGTCACTGGCCACTGGTCTAGTAACTAGGATTCAGCACTCTTGCTGCCATGACCTGACTTCAATCTCTGGCCGAGAACCGAAACACTGCTTCAAGCTGCTGCAGGCCGAGGCCACTTAAGATCAGTTGGGAGTGATGGGTTGCATGCTTAGTCCATCTTACTCAGAAACTAAAAACCAGGTTTAGGAAATTATCCTAGGGAAATAATAAAAGATATATGCTAAGAATGTATACTCAAGGATTTTTATCACAGCAGTGCTTACAATAGTTATATACTCTTTGTTGATCTTTGCATGCAACAGAATCTGATTGTTTTAACTTAAATCTGACTGATTTAATCAGAAAACACATTTTTAAAGGGATATTTAGTGACTTTAAAAAATGCCAAGGAGGACAAGAGACTAGTCTGAGAAGGTATGGAGACCAGAACAATAACCAAATTCAAGCCAGTGATGACTGACTCCTAGCACTATTGTACACTGATCCTAATCACTATCAATCATATTGCTTCCATTAATAGTCCCAGAAACCTGATCTTTCTGCCTCTGCCACAATCACCAAGGGCAATTTGATAGGGACAGAATGAAGGGAAAAAGTAGGTGATTAAATAATCTCACTAGGGCGTTGTAAGTAAAAAAAAAAATATGGGAGACCCTCTGTAAGTTAATGATTACTCAAGAAAGCAGGTTTGCTTAACCACAAAAACATGTAACAGAAGCACAAGACATGCCCCAAAACAACAAAACAATGGTAGCGTGAGACTCACATCCCGCCCAGTGAGCTTAGTAAGTTAGTGATCCCTAGGACATACTCTCTGCACACATAAAAAACAGTAATTTGTGGACCTTGCTTGACCATGCAGGGACAAGAAAACTCCCCTGCTCAACCTAGAGGAGGAGCTGATGATGAAAACATGACATCTACTCAAGAAAGACAAAGAAAGTCCTCTCCCCCTCCCCACTTTTCCTTTGATTGAAAAACTGTAGCCCACTAAGTTCCAGGGCACAGTATTTCCCACCTAGCTTCCTGTAGCCTCACAAGCATCCTATTCTAATGAATCACTTCTTATCTCCCACTTTGCTGTCATTGAATTCTTATTTGTACTGAGACATAAAGAACTATAGTCCTGGAACTCTTCAGAGGCCCCCCGAAATGATACCAGTTGGTTTCAAATTCTCTGCTATGGCTGCTTGTTTGCATCCCTCTGACCCATTCATAGTGTCCCTTCACTATAAAACTCCCACAAGGCCACTGAGGCTTTGTGCTTTTCAGTTTCTTTTTACTAATACAAGATAGTTGGGCACTAAAGTATGTAACAAAGGTGATAGAAGCAGTAGGAAGTTAGAGGAGAGGACACTCCAGAGAACATGAGTTGTAGGAGAGAGGCTTTTTATAGAAGGTATGGGCAGAGCTGGGTCTTCAAGTAAGACCTCAGAAAGAGGGCTATATCAGTCAACTACTGCTATGCAACTCAACTGAGCATCAACAAAGCATCCTTGAATAATATTTCTCTCTCATAGACTTATAGGGCTTCCCAGGTGTCTCGGTGGTAAACAATCTGCCTGCCAATGTAGGAGCCACAGGAGACAGGGTTCAATCCCTGGGTCAGAAAGATTCCCTAGAGGAGGAAGTGGCAACTCATTCCCATGCTCCTGCCAGCATAATCCTATGGACAGAGGAGCCTGGCGGGCTACAGACAACTGGGTCACAAAGAGTCGGACACCATGGAGCAAGTGAGTGCACAAAGTCATGGACTTATAGCCAAGTGGGGGAGCTCTGCTTCTGATTTTAATTTCACCCTCTCCACAATTTCTTTAAATTCCTGTGGTTTACACCCTCACCTTTCTGAAAGTTTTCAACCTGGCAGCATACATTGCTCCAAGTTTGCAATTACATCAACCTGGCTTCACTGGTTCACAAAATAAATCTACTCATGTCAAGTATTTGGAGATTAAGCTGCACTTCACCAAGGATTTGAAAGACAGTGTGACAGGGTCACATCTTGGAACACATGGCCTTCAGCCACCCTGCTAGCTATTCCCTCTTTCTCACTCTCTACCATTCATCTCCACTTCTTCCAAACCCAAATCAACTCACAAATCCTTTCTCTTACACAGACTGTTCTATTCTCACCCAGGCCCTGCAGGGTCTCACCTGCTTCCCAATGACTTTAAAAAACAATTCTTTCAAACACATCCAGGGCTTTCTGCAGAAGAACATCTGGAAAATCATGGGTCCTTTCAAAGCAACCATAAATTATGGTTCATCTTATCCTTCCAATCAATTATTCTTTTCCAGTTGTTCTTACTTGAGAATAACTAGACATGCAACAAGCAAATGATCTGTGGAAAATTTAACCTACTTAAAAGGGGAAGAAATAAGAAGTGGCTACCTATGTGTTATCCCTTGAAGAAGCCTATAAAAGTATAGCCCCAGTATCCAGGATGCTCTGAGGAGAACCCCATTGGGGAGAACAATGGCTAAAAATAGTACCTGACCTTGGGTATCTGAAAGGAAAAGGATAAAAAATGTTGACCAAAGAGTTTAAAGTGTCTTTGAAGAAAAAAGAAAAGCACACCCACTTTTTAAAACTGCACGGAAGTCACCTTCTGCACTTTCTGGAAAGGAAAAGCTATTCAACCAGTGTACACTGACAGATAGGCACGACCTTCAAAATAGGCGAGGGGCAGGACTCCATATACCAAGTTGATGGCAGAGGTAACAGGGCAGCAAGAGAGAATATCAGATAGCCCAAACACTGGAGAGATCACAAAGTCAATGAACAGATCAGGAGGCAGAGATATCATCATGGGATCAAGTCTAAAGTGGTCAGCATTAACCACCAGCAAAGAAAGAGACGTCAGATGGGCTGCAGGTTCTGGAGTGGAGGACATCTGTGGGAACTAAATGTTCCCAGAAGGGAATGATGGAGGAAGAATCCCATTACAACACCTTAGTACAGTGTGTTCACCCATACCAGCACTCGAGCCACCTTGTGATGAAGAGTCTTCTTTAGTGAGAGGAAACGGAAGACTCTGAGGGAGGTTCCTCCTTGGCTGTCACACTCCCCAACTGCTGTCTTCCTCTGATCATTACCTTGGGCTTCTCCCCTTGCTCTGAATGAGTTAAGGGCTCTCCAAATGCTAGGAACTGTGAAGAGCTCAGAAAGGAATGAGACCATAACTATCCAAGAAATCCAGAACCTAGTCAGGAAACGGGCTAATAAAACATACGTTGGGAGGAACAAGATGGCGGAGGAGTAGGTGGACGTGGAGTACATCTCTCTCCATGGATACATCAGGAATACACCTTCAGACACAGAAGTGCACACAGAACACCAGCTGAGGGCGAACAGGAGTGCCTGACCAGTGGAAAAGAATATACAGAACCATGGAAAATTCGGTAGGACAAAGGAACTAGGGGGTAAAACAAGAGTATTAGCAGGACTGGACCTGCCCTCGGCAGGTGGGGGAATGGAAGCAGGGGTCTGATCCCAATACCAGGGCAATTGTCTGAGTCAGAGGAGAAACACTGAAGGCTGAGAGTGAAACAGCTGATCTGTGGCAGCCTAAATGGAATGAGAATGAGACATTCCTTGCCACAGCCATACAGACCCCGGACAGGGTCACAGGTCCCCTGGAAGGCACAGCACTGGGAGCTGAACTTGAGAGATTGTGGAGCAATCCCAGGGCGAGGGCTGCGGTTGACTGCAGAGAGACAGACCGAGGGGATGTGATGAAGGAGACTGTGGTGGGAAATGCCTGTGGAGGAAAGCCAGGCAGCCAAGGAAGCAAGGCGATACTGCTGAGTCACGTGTAGAGGGTAAAGCCATCACCACAGCCTATTTCTCCCCACACACCAGCATCGGCAGCTGGACAATAGAGAGGCTGGCCCATCAAATGCCCGACTCACTGAACTACAGAGTGGGACGCCACCCAGGGTGCCCCTTTAAGTGCCTGATACAGAGTAGTACCCCAGCCGGGGGGGGGCCCTCTATGTGCCTGAAGCACCAAACAACAAAGAAGGACCCCAGGCAAGGGAACCCTCTAAGTACCTGAACGGGCAGAGCTAGAGAGGAAAAGTGGCCAAAGAGGCCCTCTAATTGCCAGCGACAAGAGGCTCAAAAAAAAGACTCTGATAGGGCCATAACTCCTGCAGCGGAGGCAGTCCATGTCCCTACACACTTCGCGCCGCCAAGGGTCCCACAAGCCAAGCAGCTGCGCTACCTTCACGCTCAACTGTCACTGGGTCACAGCTGCCACAACCTTCCCACTAGCTATACAAGCTGCAGATTAAATCCACACAATCAACTATGCAGACTCTGTGTCTGTGGAACATATTAAAGGACATTGAGAGCTCCCGCAAAAGAAAATGCACCAGCTCTGATAGCTGTGGACGTTGGAGGCAAGAACACACAGGAGTAGAACCAGATTAGAATCTGAGCTGCCCACACAGCAGGTCCAGAGATCAGCACAGTGTTAGAGGCCATCCTAGGGAAGTAAGGTGGACTGTGACTTCCAGTGAGTGAAAGGACTCTGACAGCAGTGACTCAAGAAAAAGCTTATTATTCTTATGTTTTGACTTGTCCTGTAGATTCTTTTGGATATTTTTTTTCTTTTTCCTGCCTGCCACCTCCCTATCCCCCTTGCAGTTGTCCATTTTATTGGCACTGTGAAATCCAATCAAGCTTTTGCGCTTTATTTATTTTTTTTTCCTCAGTCACATTTTTTTTTGTTGTTGTTGTCATAAACCTCTGCATCTGCTTTGGGCTTTTGCAGTTCTGGGGGGTTTTCCTTTTCTCTTTTTTTAATTTTAATTTTTAAACCCTATTATTAATTTTTCTACATTTATTCCTCTGTTTGCTTTTCCTACTGTTCTTTTCCCCTTGCAGTTAATATTTAATATATATCTTCTTTACCTACCTCTAGGTAGCTTTGCATATCTATTCTT